CCAGGAAGCCCCGCCAAGCACAGGCCGGCCAGGGGGAGGCGCTACCACCACCCGATGGAGACGAGCCTCCCCACCGCCCACCGCCCACGGCCCTAGAGCCCTCAGCTGGGCGAGCGCTGCCTCCCAGCACCTCTGGGAGCCGGCGGGCAGTGACTGCCAACAGCGAGGCCCCAGAGCGCGTGCCTGATGCGGCCCCACAAGCTGCCTGGGCCGCACGTGTGGTCTGCGTCAGGGGCTGGCGACTGCACTAATCCCCCTGGAAGTGTCACCTCCATTTGTCGCCACCACAACCCCACAGAGCAGGCGCTGTGAGCGGCACCTCACGTTACAGACAAGGAGTCAGAGGCCCAGAGGAGCCTGCAGTGCCGGCCGGGGGGCGGGGGCAGGGGTGCTGAGTGGGTACAAATCAACCCATGAACCAGGTCACTGGATGGATTCCTGGACTGAGGACTCGTCCTGCGTAGGGACGTGCAGGAGGCAGCCAGTGGAGGCTTCTCTACCCTCCCTTCCTCTCTCTCTCTCTCTCCAATCGATTTTTAAAATATCTTTTAAAAAGAGAGACTAGTAGCTCCCTGGAACTCCAAAGCTAAGAAGGGGCAGAGCTGGACTCAAAGCCGACCTCTCTGTTAACGGGAGTCGCCCTCGGGCCCGTGTGCAGCGGCCTCTGGGGGCCACCCCCTCGTGGGGGCCACCCCGGCAGCGGGGAAGCCCTCCGGCCTATCTGCCTCCTTTGTCTGCCTCGCTGTTTGCTTTTCAGTGTCTGTGTCCGGCCGCCTCTGCTGACTTCCCTGCAGGGAGTAACCTGGGGACGGCATGTCTGGTCGGCACGACAACAATTTCCTAAAGGAACCAGAGACGACCCGTTTTCCCAGGCAGGCGGCTCACCTTGCTCTTGCTTGAAGAGGATGCTGTACTGAAAAGAACAGGAGCCACATTAAACCAAGGTCAGAGTTCACACGTGTCGCATCCCCTTCCTGAAGCACCAGCCGCCGCGCCCCCGGAGATACGGTCACCGCGGTGGCAGTGACTTCCTGTCACCCTGACCTGCACGCTCCTGACTCCTGCTCGTGCAAGATATGTAGTCACACCAGGAACAATTAGTTCCTAAGAAACTGGCCCGGCCGGCGTGGCTCAGTGGTTGAGCGTCGGCCTATGAACCAGGAGGTCAGGGTTCGATCCCTGGTCAGGGCACAGGCCCGGGTTGGAGGCTCCATCCCCAATGCAGGGCGTGCAGGAGGCAGCCGGTCCATAATCCTCTCTCATCATGGATGTTTCTCTCTCTCCCTCTCTCCCCCTTCCTCTCTCATCAGTAAAATATATATTTTTTTTTTAAAAAAAAGGAAGTGTAGCTTCTCCATTCCCTTAAGAGACTAATAAATGTGCTTTTCCCGCTCTGCTCACCAGGAAGCTCCGGGCCCACTCTGCAGCTTCATTTTTTTTTTTTCTTAATCTATTTTTATTGATTTCAGAGAGGAAGGAAGAGGGAGAGAGAGAGGAACATCAATGATGAGAATCATGGATCGGCTGCCTCCTGCACGCCCCACTGCGGATCGAGCCCACAACCCGGGCCTGTGCCCTTGATTGGAATCGAACCTGGGACCTTTCAGTTCGCAGGCCGACTCTCCATCCACTGAGCCACACCGGCCAGGGCTGCAGCTTCATTTGTGCACTTATATCGAAGGGCACAGCCCACAGAAGGACCTGTCAGCCTTGTCCCTGATCTTATCCTAAACACAGGTCTCTTCTCTGCTGATCTTCGTTTCTCTGCTGCTTTTGTGCACAGATTCTTTCAGCCCCTCTGTGCACGGGGAGACTCGGGGGGCACGCTGCTCCTCCTGGCGCTGTGCACGGGCGGACACCCGCCTGCGTGGTCAGGAGCAGAGCAGGAGCCGGGAGCCGGTGCCTGGCCACCCCGACACCTGCCAGGGCCCCGCTGCTGCGCCTCCCTCCACAGCCTTACCTGGTTGGTCATCTCCTTGGCCGGGGGGAAGGGCTACAGGCCAGGCAGCTCTGTGGGAACAGCACCAGTAGGGGTCTCAGTCAGGGGGTGTCATCAGGACAGGGGGGCCCCGGGGGGTTCCCCTTGACCGCAGAGTGGCCCCGACACTTGCCCTGGGTCAGTCCCAGGAGCTCCCCTCACACGGCCCCCGGAGCCCATGGGATCAACTAACGCCCTGTCCCAGCCCATGCGTTCTTCTCTCCCAGCCGCCCCCTGCCCCTCTTCAGAGGGAGAGAGAGAATTTATTTATTTGTTTAATCCTCGCCCGAGGCTATTTTCCCATTGGTTTTTAGGGAGAGACAGAGAGAAACACTGATGTGAGAGAGACACATCAATGGGCTGCCTTTGCACAGGCCCCAACCAGGGCTGGGGATCGAGCCTGCAACCGAGGTACCTGCCCTTGCCCGCAGTCGAACCCGGGACCCTCCAGTCCCCAGGCCGACGCGCTTTCCACTGAGCCAAAGGGGTCGCGACCCACAGGTTGAGAACCGCTGCTAGACAATTTTTTTTTAAAGTAACCATTCTAGGGTGTGCTGAGTGGCCAGTTGTAAGTTTATACAATTGGATTAGCTCGCTCCGCGCTCAGCGGGCGTCCTCACTCTCACCTCCTCCTCCCCTGATACCAACTCACGTCAGAGCTGAGCGGACCCCAAGCCCCCCTTGGCCCCCCACAACTTCCCACGCGGAACTCACTGCTCGCTCCTCTGCGTTTCCAAAAACACAACACCCCACGTGCCCCTCTCAGCGCCATCGGGCAGGACTGACCCCCAAAACCACCGGGTGCCGGGACCCCAGGACCCGGGAGCGCCGGTCCTTGTCCGCGGATGGGCGGGAGGCTCGCTACCTACGGAGGCGGCGGCGCTTCTCGGGGAAGCTCGGCCGGGACGGGCCTCCCGTCTCCGGGGTCGGGGACGCCAGCCCCCAGCTCGGGGCTGCACGGAGCCCGCCCAGGACGCGCCCCGACGGGCAGCAGGGCCCCGGCGACGGCCAACCCCACCAGCCCAAGGGCCCGACTCACCGGCTCTGCCCCGTCGCTCGGTCCCGGCGCGTCTCTGACGACAGCGCCACGCGACCGCGACACTAGGAGCTCGGGAAGGGGCGGGGCCTCGCCCAGGGGCACCGCGCACGCGCACTCCCTGCCGAAAGCCACGCCCCCGGCGAGGGTGGGCGGGGATAGGCGCGGAGGCCACGCCCCGTCCCATCCTGGGTCTGGGAGGCCACGCCCCGTCCCGCCCTGGGGCCACGCCCCGTCCCGCCCTGGGGTCGGGGAGGCCACGCCCTACTCCCCTAGGGGGCGGGGTTTCGGTGATGGGCTCCCGGAGGCGCGCGGGTTCGGGTTCCTGCAGCAGCAGGTGCGTGCGTGGGGCCCGGGTTCTCCGTTTCTACTGGTTCTGTTGCGTCAACACTTTTTTTTAAATAAAAATATTTATTTATTTTTAATATATTTTATTGATTTTTTTACAGAAAGGGAGAGGGAGAGGGATAAAGAGAAACATAGATGAGAAACACCCATCAGCTGCCTCCTGCACGGCCCCTACTGGGGATCAAGCCCGCAACCAAGGTACATGCCCTGGACCAGAATCGAACCCAGGACCCTTCAGTCCGCAGTCAAGGGACCTGGCGTCTATGGCCAACTGTTCTTAATATGTTTGCTCACCTTCTTGGTGCTATGTGTTCTAACCAAGGTCACCTCTCCGAGAAAGGTTGTTTCCCCAGGTGAGGATTTTCCCCTTTAGTTAGGGAGGGGATAAAACCCCTTAACTAAGTGCCAGGCGGGTAGTTAATCACTTTAACTACCAACAATCACTCTTAAGCTACATAATCTTTACTCCCTGGAATGGAAATAAGAAATGCCCTAACCTTTGGAATAGAGATTGATAGGATTGGAATCAACTGGTATAAATACAGATGTAACAAGACAACACACACAGAACCTAGAAACAGAACCTAGCGAGAGAACCTGGCTGAAGAACCTAGAAACAGAACCTAGCGAGAGAATCTGGCAAAAGATCCTGGACAGAACCTGGCTGGGGAACCTAGACAGAACATGGCAGGAGAACCTGGATAGAACCTGGATAGAACCTGGCTAGAGAACCTGGTGATCGAACCTGGCTGGAGAACCTGGAGAACCCGGCTGGAGAACCTGACCAGAACTTGGCTGGAGATCCTGGCTAGAGATACTGGCTAGGCTGCTGATCAACTGAACACTGTCTCCATGTCATTCCTTCTTCGCCGACTCCGTCCACACCTTTGGGGACCCCTGGACCTGCTGGGGTTGGACCCCAGCAGAGCCACACCGGTTAGGGCAGAGCTTTGTTTTAAAAGCTGCAAGTCATGCCCGCCTGGTGTGGCTCAACGGTTGAGCCCCGACCTATGAACCAGGTGGTCAGGGCACATGCCTGCGTTTGGGGCTTGATCCCCGGTGTGGGGCGTGGAGGAGGCAGCCCATCCGTGCTTCTCTCTCCTCATTGATGTTTCTCTCTCTTCCTCTCTGAATTTCCAAACCAAGCAAATTGTTTTGGGTATCAAGTGAAATTTTTGTCAGCCCAAAATTTAATCGTCTCCCAAAAAAGAAATGTTAGATTAAGAAAAATAGATGTAAGGGTGGGTAGCATGCATAGTTAAGGTATATCATCTTGTATTTTTTTTAAAAAAACACACCCTATTTCACATCTGCATACCAGTATGTGAAAAAATGTTATAGGACCCCCCCCGCAAAAGCAGTGACCACACATTCATATTGTTAATTTTTTTTACCATGCGCCCCTGTATGTGTATGTTACTTATAAGTCATGTGTGTGCTACTCTGCTAATATGTTTGTAGGTATAATAAAGCAAATACAGAAATAGGATTTTAAGAGGATGAGATTTAAAAATATATATAATCAGAGGGTCTAATATTTTCTTCCCATACCCCAGCGGATGGTTTTGCTCACCAGCTGGGGTACACAGCCCCACTTTGGAGACCCCGGTACCTCCTAAGGTTGTCTTGGTTGTAAACATTTGGGAGCCACATCGGTGGCCATACAGACTGAGCCGCACACGGCGAACCCAGCGGCACCGAACACTGTGATGAGGCCAGGGCGAAGGGGTGAACCCCGTTTTACACACAGAGAGGGAACCCGTCCTCCCAGGGCGGGGACGTCTGCAGGGTCACTCGGCCAGCAGGGAGCGGAGTAAGGGGGGAGGTCGCGGTTCCATCCCAGTCAGGGCACAGGCCCGGGTTGTGGGCTCCATCCCCCATGTGGGGCCTGCGTGCAGGAGGCAGCGGATCCCACCAGCCTGGGGCTTGACCACGGATGGCCACTGGGTGGCAGTCCCCGCCTGCTGTGGGCCACTTGCCCGCACTTGCTGATGGGGATGACGCGGCTGGGACCTGCTTGCCCGCCCTCTGCAGCTACCCCAGCCCCACAGGCAGTGGGCCCCCCCAAACAAGGGCCTCAGTTTCCTCCTGCAGAAACTGGAGACCAAAACACCCCTAAAATGGAGAACTTCACCCCTAGAAAATGGTTAGGAGCAACCTGCCGGGATGGCTCAGGGGTTGAGCGTTGACCTAGGAACCAGGAGGTCAGGGTTCGATTCCCGGTCAGGGCACATGCCCGGGTGGCGGGCTCGATCCCCGGTGTGGGGTGTGCAGGAGGCAGCCGATCAAAGGTTCTCTCTCATCACTGATGTTTCTGTCTCTCTCTCCCTCTCCCTTCCTCTCTGAAATCAATACTAAAAGATATTTTTTAAAAAGAAAGAAAATGGGCAGGAGCTACCCTACACTGGTAGACTGAGTCACAGCCCAGGGCAGCCACGGTGAGGCTGGAGGGAACAGGCCGTGTGCATCAGGAAAGGGGGCGGGGTCAGGCCCAGCAGTGCCTGACCTCCCGGCCCCTCTGGCATCACTTACCTGCTGACCTGGGAAGCAGCGAAGGCAGGCAGGGGAGCCACGGAAGCCAGGTGGGCTGCCAGGAGGAGGAGGAGGAGGCTGTAGGCCCTGGACGGAGGCAGAATCGGTGGGCGGGTGGGGAAGCTGTGAACCAGCGCCCAGGCTGCGGAAAACGAGACAGGAGAGGCCGTGGTGAGGGGGTGAGGAAGGTGCAGGGGCCCACTGGGTGATGGGGGTCCCACAGGAGCCGCGGGCGGAGGAGCCGTGCCCCGTAAACGCTCAGCAACAGGCTCTTCAGGGAAAGAGCTGAACTGGGTCACAGCCCAGGCCGACAGCTATGGTGTTTGCACGGCTCCCGTGGGCAATTTCTTTCCTTTTTTAAAAAAATATATTTTTATTTATTTCAGAGAGAAAGGGAGAGGGAGAGAGAGATAGAAACATCCATGATGAGAGAGAATCATTGACTGGCTGCCTCCTGCACGCCCCCCACTGGGGATCGGGCCTGCAACCCGGGCCTGTGCCCTGACCGGGAATTGAACCCGGGACCCTTCAGTCTGCAGTCCGACGCTCTATCCACTGAGCCACACCGGCCAGGGCCCGTGGCCGATTTCACGTTACTGACGTGGTACCGCTTACCAACCCGTAGAATGTGCTATGATGAGGGGTACGCACCAGCTGCAGACACCCCGGTGATTCTGACACAGCAGTGGGGGTGTCACGCTTCACCCCAGATGCATGGGTGTGCACACCTGGCCGAGTCCACCCACAGGCCACCGGAGGGGTGTCCTCTGGGCAGAGCCAGTGTGAGCGGAGGCCCCCCGATACCCACTCCTGTTGGCAGCCCCCCGCCCCTCTAGTACGGCTCCTTGGGACTTGGGGGACTGGCCCCCCCATGACGTCAGGACTGCTGGCTGTCCCCCTCCATGTCCCATTTGCTCTGTATCCGCTTTCTTTCTCTTTTTTTTGTGTAAGATTTTTTAAAAATATATTGTTACTGATTTCAGAGAGGAAGGGAGAGGTAGGGGAAGACAGAAACATTAATGATGACAGAGAATCATGGGTCGGCTGCCGCCTGCACGCCCCCTACCGGGGATCTGAGCCCGCAACCTGGGCCTGTGCCCTGACCGGGAATCGAACCCGGGACCCTCCAGTCCGCAGGCCAATGCTCTATCCACTGAGCCACACCGGCCGGGGCTGTATCTGCTTGCAGCGAGGCCATGCCTCCTGGGTCTTTGCTGAGGGAGGACGCCAGGCCCCGGTCCCAGGGAGGGTCGGGCCTGTGCTGGTCCAGTAAGAAGAAGGGGTTAGGGCTCCAGAGGCTGGGAGGCCCGCTGCACCCAGAGCCCCACAGGGCATGAGGGTGGTCAGGAGCCCTGGGTGCCGCCTCAGCTCCGCACCAACCTGCTGAGACCTGGAGCCCGTGGAGCTGTGCCTGGGACCCAGCTTCCCTCCACACGCACACACATGCACACGGGTACATATGCACACGCACACGGGGGTGCCCACGGTCTCAGTCCTGCCCGGGTGGGGGATCGTTCTGCCGGCCTCTGGGGGCTGGGGGGACAGGTCCTGCTCCGTCCTGGCTGCCCCCGAAGCGCCCCCGTCAATTAACTCGGGGCTCGGTTTGCGGGGGCAAGTGGTGTTTGAGAGCCATAAT